TTGGTCGGATGAATGCATGCCCAACGATTGGAATTTAAGTGTGCTTTGCCCAATCCACAAAAAAGGTGATCCTGCAAACTGCGCCAACTACCGCGGGATCAGTCTTTTAAATATCGCATATAAGGTTCTATCAAACGTACTATGTGAAAGATTGAAGCCAATCGTCAACCAACTGATTGGACCTTATCAGTGTGGCTTCAGACCTGGCAAATCCACTCTAGACCAAATACTCACAGTGCGTCAAATCCTGGAGAAGACTCAAGAAAAACAAATCGACACACACCACCTATTTGTCGACTTCAAAGCTGCTTTTGACACTACGACTAGAAGCACACTCTATGCCGCTATGTCTGAATTTGGTATCCCAGCAAAACTTATACGGCTATGTAAAATGACGTTGAGCAACACCACCAGCTCCGTTAGAATTGGAAAGAACATCTCTGAGCCGTTTGATACCAAACGAGGTTTCAGACAGGGTGACTCCTTGTCGTGTGACTACTTTAACCTAATGTTGGAAACGATAATTCGAGCAGCAGATTTAAACCGTACTGGCACAATATTCTACAAAAGTGTAATGCTGCTTGCGTATGCCGACGATATTGATATCATTGGTCTGAACACCCGCGTCGTCAGTGCGGCATTTTCCAACTTAGAAAAACAAGCAAAGCAAATGGGTCTTGTGGTAAATGAGGACAAAACAAAGTACTTTCTGTCAACAAACAAATCTCCTGAGCGTCTTGGGACCTACGTCACTGTTGACAATTATAAGTTCGAAGTTGTGAAAGACTTTGTTTATTTAGGAACCAGCTTAAACACCAAAAATGACGTCAGCCTAGAGATTCAACGAAGAATTACTCTTGCCAACAAATGTTACTTCGGGCTAAGTAAGCAATTGAGAAATAAAGCCCTCTCTCGACAAACAAAAATCACGCTCTACAAATCCCTTATCATGCCTGTCCTGCTGTATGGTGCAGAAGCTTGGACAATTACCAACAGTGATGAGAAGGCGTTAGGAGCATTCGAGAGAAAAATTCTTCGGAAGATCTATGGTCCCTTACGCGTTGGCGACGAGTATCGAATAAGATGGAACGATGAGCTGTATGAGCTATACCGCGACATTAACATAGTTAAGCGCATAAAAATTCAGCGGCTACGCTGGCTTGGTCATGTCGTGCGAATGGAAGAAAGTGCTCCGGCTAGAAAGGTATTTGATTCGGTACCCGCAGGTGGAAAACGCGGTAGAGGACGTCCGCATCTTCGGTGGAAGGACCAGGTGACCAACGATTTGGGGGCGCTCGGTACTACCAACTGGCGTCAGAAAGCAACTAATCGGGCTGACTGGCGGAGGCTACTCGACGCGGCCAAGGACGACACACGTCTGTAATGGCCAACTAAGTAAGTAAGTAAGTAATATATATATATATATATGTTCCTTATAAATACGTGTGTATATCGCATCCAATCAGCCTTTACTTGTCAAGTCATATAAAACAAATCTTACTTTCACCGTAATTTTGCTGATATAGTATAATCTCTAGAGTGTTATACATTTCGATAAAGATTTCGATTAAAAAAGTTACCCTACTTCTACCAATTGAAAACGGCATAACTCTTCAGATAAATCGAAATTCAGGTATGTTAACCTTATCTTCGTATTCAGCTTTTATATTAGTATCGCAATAAATACAGCCTCATATCATTTTCGATTGATAAATCCAGGGTAACCCTTTCAAGTAAGATTTACTTTTGTTGCAATTTTCATTTTCGATTGGTAAATCTCGAGCGAAATGTTTAACAGTCGAGATTAATTTATAACACTCTAGATATTTTGTCAGAGTAACAAGATTACCCTGAAATGAACAGTTATTTTATATGACTAACAGATAAAGTGTGATTCGATTCGACATAAACTTACTAACACAACTACAAAAATGTTAGAGTACTTTGATTGGAGGTTTGATTGGATAATAAAATTTAGCAGATCGAAAGTAAATCTAATCGATTTACTAATCGAAAACGACATTAATTGGATTTAATGCAATAAAATCAAACAGCTGTTTTAAAATGAATAAGGTGTGTTGGTTTAGTATTGAGCATGTAAATGACTACAACGACTAATATACTGATTGTAACTATTTGAATAGATTTTTTTGGAATCCAAAAGAGTTGTGAAATATTAAGGAAGACCCAGGCTAAATTTTAAATGTAGCAGTAATGTGAATAATGGGATCGTCCTTCGGGACTCTAAAGTACATAAGGAAATTAATCAAACAGATTGTACTAAGAAAGAGGAACTACTCCTATTATAGCTAAAACAAATTACTAGTAGGTGCTTTAAAGAAAACGATTTACATAATAAATTTTTTTTTGGTGAAAAATACTTCAATTTTTTGTATTATGTTTTATCTGTTACTTGAAGTTATTTTCTGCTAAATGTCAATCCACTAAGGGCACAAATCTACAAATCTGGCGTAAAGTACTCTCTCATTCTTGTACGTTTCTTGCTTTTCTTGCGTTTCAACTGTTAATGACTCTTCTTTATAGATCTACATTTGCACCATCGATCGAACTTTTTTTGTAAGTTTGACCTCTATTTCTATTTCCCGATAAACTGCATAGCAAATTTTATTCGTTGCTGTCTATCTAACTCAGATCTTCACTAATGCATCCAATAGGAGTGCCGTTAGCAGATTAATCCATAAATCTAAATAAAAACAAAACAATTATTTTTACGGACTTATATAAAATGATGCCTTTTATGATCCAAAATGAGTTATAGTAAAATGCATTTTAGCTTCTTATTACGGAATTTTTATTACAACTAGAAAAATAAGACAGCAGCGTTTTGCTGTTCAACTAAATACAAAATACGGAATACACAGAATATAGAATACAGAATAATAGCACTTAAACCCGGCTTTGATAATAAAAAATAATGTTTTAATTATCATTCATTTTTTATCGTTTTTGTTGTTCCCATTCATTACGAAAACATAAATCATATGTAACTCTAGCTCCACTAGTGATCCATTTGTTAACCTTTTTAAGAAATAAATAAATCATCACACACAATCAGTTCAAGTAACTTAATTAATCAAAAGGTTCTTTCTTGCATATCACAAACGAATGCAATCGCCGTTTTCTTTACCAATAGTGCTTTTCTGTCTCTGTCTCTGTCCCTGTCTCTTCCTCTTCTTATTCGTCTTCTTCTTCATATTTTCATATTTTCATATTTTTCGTTGTGTTTCACTAACGTTAACCGTTACAAATTTAAAATCATGTGGGCACCTTAACGTTTTATATCAGCGCTGCATTACGCGTGATGTAATAATTGGGTCGATAGCCAGCCACACTATTCCAGCTGGAAACGATCACGAATTAGAGCAAGCACTAAATAAAACCGATTCTTGCCCAGCTGCTTGACTAGATTGGATTTTCGCACATGGGCGTGGCTTCCGTACCAAATACGCGTTTAACTGTATGGTATTTAACTGTGCTAACTTAACTGTCATGTAGAGATAAGTACCTTGTGTCGATAAAAGTAAAAACAATTAACACAAATGCAAATACTTTTAAATAGCCAGCACGAAAAGAATCTCTATTCATTTCCAACCCACCACAATGGATAAATGGATAAAGAAACTTCACTTCACACAGCATGTTTGGCATGCTGCTGCTGATACTATTGCCGATACTAATGCCAATGATGCAGCTGTTGTTGTTGCTGTTGCGGTTAGTTTTGTTATAGCTTTGTGTAAGCTTCGAGCAATAAACAAAATGTGGCACATTACCAGCAACGAATTTAATTTCCAAATGCTACTGCATCAAACGCATCTATGCATGCATAAACAATCAGCAAACCCAGCAATCTGCCAAATTAAAAGTGGAGAGTGTAAAAATTTTTATTGGCAGTTGCTCAAGCATAGCTATTAAAATGCACCTCTATACGCGATATCCGATGTCTCATTGCCGATATATGTATGTATGTATGTATGTATGTATGTAAAGCGTCCCGCACCTCATTACAACATAATTACATACAAATAGACAATTGTAAAATAACGTGTAATGGATGTGTTCGAGGCATGCAATGCCAATAGCTTTAATAATAGAAGTAAAATGCAACAACAACAGCAGCAACAACAACAAGCATTGTTAAATGACGCCATTGCAGCTGCAATAGCAGCAGCAGCAGCAACAATTGTTGCAGTTGCAGAAGAAAAAGGAAAATCTGCGCACCAATTCATGCAACAAATTATACTTTCCGTTGTTCAAATGTTTGGAGTGCGCTTGCAGGTTCCGAGTATTTTACATCTAGACTTGATTTTTCTTGTCTAACTCCATTATCAAGCCCCATACCGTGCAGCACCGCACCATATAACACCATCTGATGGCATTGCCATTGCCATTGCCATTGCCTTTGCCAAAGACGGCGAGTATGTCAAGTTTCATTTTCTTTGCATTTTGTTATATTGTCTAACTGACATTTTAACTGTTATTGTTATTGTTATTTTCTTTGGTTGTATGCAACACTGTTTTTTTTTATTGCTTATGAAGTTTGGCATACCCTCACCGCTGTCAAAGCCTCGCTGTTGAAGCCACGCAGTTGAAGCCCCGCTGTCGAATCCGCCGCAACCACAAACAAAACACAGTCAACCGCAGAGATAGTCATAGCCAAATCTGCACAGTCGTAGCAGCAATCACAGCCTTTCACTCTATAAATTTGTAAGCCTTGCCAAATGGAGACTCATTCTGCATTTGCGCTTCAAACCTTTCTCTTCGTGCTACTGAAAAATAAAACGGCATCGGCAACGGCAACGGTACAAGAACGCAACCGCAACAGTGGAAACATACATTTTTCATACATTTTTCATAGGAGTATTAAATATTAAATACAAAAAATAAATATAAATTATATAAAAAAATCTGAAAGAAATAATAACGCCAAAAAAATACAAAATAATAAGATTTTTTGGAGCAACACAAAAGCATAAAGCATATCAGACCGACCGACAGTAAGAACAGCAGCAACGGCTTCTCATTGTTGCTTGGAGCGATTGTGGCATATGCACGCGCAGCGCATATTAAGATTGAACGCATCCAACAGACGTTAGTTAGTGAGATCGACCGATCACACATTTCATCATATATCAACTTCCCATCTTTCATCGTTTTCAGCTTCAGCTTCAGCTTTAAGTATAATTGAGTGCGCAGATAGAACTGAAGTGTGGCCCGTTGTGTTACTCGTGAACTTTAATAAAGTAGTGCACAAAATTCATAAAAAAAAAATAACAACAAAACATTGCTTTTTATTCTTATTCAATAAACAACCAATAATGAACTAAATTAAAATGAAATTTAAAAACTTACATTAATAATCGTTCAATCGCTTTTCGTATTTTCGTCGCTGTTAAATAAAATAAATGAAAAATTGGTGCAAAAATCAAATTCGAATTCAAATTCAAATTAAATTCAGATTTAATTGTGAGGTCAACTGAGAGTTAAATTCCATAAGTGAATGAACATACTCGACGCATATAACACAAAACACAATTCAAGCACACACGGAACACACACAACAAAATCATTCTGACAGTCGCATAACACCACAGTAACAACAACAACAGTGCCTAACATAAGCTCACAGCATCGTCGTTTCCAGCTTCAATTGCTGTTACTGCACAACGGTTTTGTAGGGCCGTTAAATTCAAGTGTTTTCAAGAAAACGTAAAAAAGAAAATAATTATAATAAAAATAAAAATAATAATAATAAATAGTAATAACAGAAATAAAAATATAAGAAAAAAATTAATCTTTCTAATAAAAAAATTTTCTTTACACTTTTTATTGTGTTGCGCGCTAGCCACAAAACCGAAAATTAAGTAAAAATACAATTAAACATAAGTACAAGCAGAGGCAGAGCTGGAGGCAGAGAGGTAGAAGCAGAAGCACAGGAACGTAGCAACATATCTGAACATATCTCCAACATATATCAGCACTACAGCATACAAGCATATAAGCGAACGGGCAAACGGACAAACGGACAAACGTAAAATTGTACAAATTTACAAATTTACTTACATATATGTAACTACCTATGCGACGGCAAAAACTTTCTTCGTGACTCTGTGCGCCACAATATCTTCAATTGTTAACGAGCGAAAGCGTACACGGAAAGTGCAGTGAAAATGTTCCAAGCAATTAAATGCTTCATTTTACAAACGTTTTACGTGAAGCAGTTGTTCTTCAGCTCGGTCTGTCTAGTGGCATTTTTGCAGCTGGCTTCAAATCAAATCGCATGTACTCAAGGTAAGTTTTCCGACAAAAAAATAAAAAAAAAAAAAATGAAATACAATCCAAAACAAAAAATTGCAAAACGAATTACACGCAAAACCAAAAAAAAAAAAAACTGTAAACAAAAATAATTTGAACATTTTAAACTGGTACAAAAATGTGCAAGAAATTAAGAGCTTAATCAGTCATGGTGACCACTGGCGTGACTTAGCTGGATATGTGTACATATGCTACATATATAGGTCACACACACAATATTATTAGTGTGGACGCATACACAAATAGTACAGAAACTTTATTGTAAAAGTGTCTCAAATCAATGTCAAGCATCTCTGTATATAGTTTGCATATTCTTGATATATATTCTGGATATAAAAAGGTCAATGAGTATACTTTAAATTGTGTCTTTGTGTTTATATACTCGTATTATATATAAACATCATCCGCATAAGCGTAAGCAACTCTTAGGAGAGTATTTTATGGATCATAAGTATTCAAGACTATAAAAGATAGGCTCTATACTGTCTTTCATTAAACTCTGACTCTGAGCTTAAAATTTTGACAGGACACGAGTTCGATTCCTGGTACTTGCAGTCTCAAAAAGACCACTGATGATGGGTATTTGGCAATACTCGAAATATCTGTATGGTCAGCCAAAAATTCAATTAATTAAAATAATATAAAATGAATTTTAGTTGTTATACTTCACTACTGTTCAGAAAAGCCTCTAAGGGACACAATAGATCTTTTAGATCGCATTCCGCTATCCCTTTTCTCAATAATAATAATAAAACTTTGCATCTGGTTTGTCCAGCGTATGCGCAACTAAACGTATATACTACTAATATGGCTTCTAAAGGATATCAAGTACCGATTTTAAAGTCGTAACTTAAGTCTCAAAACTGGCCTAAGTATGAATAATATAAAATTCATATCTTCATATTAAAAGTCGATTTTACAGTCGTAATGGAAGTCTCAAAATTGACTTAAGTATGAATTAAATCAGCAAAATTGATAACGTAAGTTTAACTTAAGTATTGAAATTTAAGCACCCTCATTCAAATGATCTTACGTTTCTATAAATGTTCAAAATGGATTTAAGCCCTACATCTCTTATGGGATGGCAAAGGTCACTATAATAATAAATACGGCTTGTCATCCTTCAATTTAAATTGTACATTGATATTACATTTACCTACATTAAATTTGATTTAATTACCATTATAAGTTAATATAAGTTACCGCTTTTAAACGGATTTTAAATACTCCGTTAGAACCAAAAACAAGTCCAAGTTTCTTATATAAAATAAAAAGCGTTGAAGTTATTCATTGTTAAAAAAGGGTTACTAGATCACTACAGCTGACATGGACGTGAATATCCGTCACATATTATGAAATCGCTAACTCTCTTTATAAAGAATATAGACTTACAAATAAATCTGTCTGAGTACTTTTTTAACAATGTTAGCAAGCAAATTTTTTAAAAATTATTTTGGAATTTATTTTTGACATAAAATTATTTATTTTTCTCGATATGACAACTAACATATCTTCTTCTTCTTCTTCTTGAGTTAGTGCTATTACGCACTTTTACTCTATAATGGCTGGGGGGTTTATCACTACCCCACACTAGGCTTTAACTAGGCTAAAAAATCATATCATTTATTTGTCTTTTAATTGATGACGGACCTTAAATCAGCATATCTTCCTGAGAGTCCAGAAGTGGACTTGAGGATTGTTATGGCAGGGTTAAGTAGCGTATCAACTTTAGTGAATAATTTTAAAGCTCTGTCTCTGATATATTTTTTCACTGAGTCAATCCTAAGATCTCTATGTATGTCCGTTGATCTAATGTACCATGGAATCTTAAACAGTTTTCTTAAGGCCAGGTTTTGAGCTATCTGTAATTGCTTTAAGGTGGTATTTGAGGCTTTGCTATATGTAACACATCCGTACAGAAGAGCAGGTCTAATTACTTGCGTATAAAGTAACTTTCTGTTTTTAAAGTTGAAGTGATAATTATTAAATAGCGGCTTTAATAAATGTAGAATCTTAGAGCAGCTATTCCGTTTGTATTTCAAATGTTTAAGCCAATTGAACCGTTTGTCAAAAGTGACCCCCAGATATTTTATATTATCCTCCCACCGTATCTCCGTGTCGCAAACGCTCACTCTTGGAGGATGCTGTCTTCTTTTTCGAGTTATAAATATAGCCTTGGTTTTGTCATTATTAATTTTAATCTTCCATTTTTGGAAGTATTCCACCATAAGGTCTATATTTCCCTGTAACGTGTTGCTTACATTTATGGCATCCCGATCCGAGTAGATCAAGCATGTGTCGTCTGCGTAAAGCGCCATTGATGTGGGACTTAAGGTGGGGATGTCTGCCGTGTATACATTAAACAATGTGGGAGACAAAGGCGACCCTTGAGGTACACCTGCTACAATTGATCGGGCGGACGAAAGAGTGCTATTAATTTTAGTACGGAAGGACCTTTCTTGCAGGAAGCTACCAATGATTTTAGTCAAACCACTAGGGATCCCAAAACGGGCTAATTTGACTATTAGACCATCATGCCAGACCTTGTCAAAAGCTTTGGCTATGTCAAATATAATCATCCCGGTTGACTCCCGTTTACTTAGAGCGGTTTGTATCAGCTGCGCAGTTCTGGCTAGTTGTAGTTCCGTGGAGAGATTATCCCTAAACCCGAATTGTTCGTCAGGAAGAATATTTAGGGCATTTACCGCTGTTTTAAGCCTAGTCAGGATTACTCGTTCTGCCAATTTCCCCATAGTTGGGAGCAGACTGATAGGACGCCAGTTCTGCGGAAATGAAGGATTCTTGTCCGGTTTAGGAAACACTACGACTGAGGCCAACTTCCAGGCCTTTGGAAATTCGCCAAGCCTAAGCATGCAATTGATGATGTTAACAATGCATTGGATTGCATCTTCTGGAAGATTACGTAGGCATTTGTTACTGATATTATCATATCCGGGTGCTGATCTGGTCTTTAGACTCGAAATAATACATTTAATCTCATCTCTGGAACACTGTGAGATGCTTTCATCTGACATCAGGTTCCTAAGATTAGCAGCCTCTTCGGCAATATTTTCTTCTACCAGAGAATTATAGTCACTATCAGTATTGGGCTGAAATTGCAGCTCCAAAGAATCCACTGTGTTTTTGGTAATCGGTAATACAATATTATGTCGCATACACGAACATAATATATACCTTACTTTATTAATAGCATAAAGTCTTCGGAATCTCACAAAATGCACTGTGTTTTTGGTAATCGGTAATACAATATTATGTCGCATACACGAACATAATATATACCTTACTTTATTAATAGCATAAAGTCTTCGGAATCTCACAAAATGTACAAAAGTACAAAATGTACTCTCCGGACAGTAGTCATACTGTATATATACTTAACCCTATCATCTCATTTATCTATTGATGGAACATTACCCCACACAATTGAATTCCAAACTAATGTAAATTAAATAAAAAGACATACTAATTGTCAGAATTTTTGAGAATTTTAAAGGTCTAGTGATAGTTATATCTGGGCACAATTAGTATGTCTTTTTATTTAATTTACATTAGTTTGGAATTCAATTGTGTGGGGTAATGTTCCATCAATAGATAAATGAGATGATAGGGTTAAGTATATACATTAAGACCGAAAAGTTTTCGGAAATTCTCATTTAAAATTCGCGCGCTGTATATTTTTCGATATTTTAAGTTTATGTAGTTTGGCAGCACTGTCCTTAATTACTATGCCAAAAATGAGCGCGATCTGTCAGACAGTTCGTTTACGGCAGCTGTTGAAACCAGTTCACCTCAGTAGGGCGTTGCGAAAAAAACAATGGAAAAAAATATTGAACAAAGAGTTTGCATCAAATTTTGTGTTTCGAACGAAATTTCGTGTGCAGAATCGTTGCGAATGCTACAAAAGGCTTATGGGGAATCAGTTTTATCGAAAACTCAAGTTTATGAGTGGTACAAAGCCTTCCAGGACGGTCGTACGACCGTCGAAGACATTTCGCAACGCACTACTGAGGTGAACTGGTTTCAACAGCTGCCGTAAACGAACTGTCTGACAGATCGAGCTCATTTTTGGCATAGTAATTAAGGACAGTGCTGCCAAACTACATAAACTTAAAATATCGAAAAATATACAGCGCGCGAATTTTAAATGAGAATTTCCGAAAACTTTTCAGTCTTAATGTATACAGTATGACTACTGTCCGGAGAGTACATTTTGTACTTTTGTACATTTTGTGAGATTCCGAAGACTTTATGCTATTAATAAAGTAAGGTATATATTATGTTCGTGTATGCGACATAATATTGTATTACCGATTACCAAAAACACAGTGAACAACTAACATACATTGTGACCGAAAAGTTTCCGGTCATAAATAAATAAAACGCAAAATTCTTAATCTTCATCAATATTTATTTTATCTCCTTCAAAATATGCTCCATTAGAAGCGATACACAAATGCCAACGTTTCTTCCAATCATCAAAACATTTTTTATAGGCGCTTTCCGGTATGGCTTTGAGTTCCCTCTGCGAATTCTGTTTTACGTCTTCTATGGATTCAAAACGCGTTCCTCTGAGTGGTAATTTGAGGTTGGGAAACAGGAAAAAGTCACACGGTGCAAGATCAGGTGAATACGGTGGCTGTTCGATGGTATTTATTGAATGTTTGGCCTTAAAATCGTTGATAATGTTGAACAAATTGAGGTGAATCGGAACAAGCCGGGCGTTGACACGTCGCATACACAAATTGTCCACCAAAATCAAACGAGCCATCTCACGACCGATGCCTAGCTCTCGTGCTATCTCTCTAACACTCACATGAGGATTTTTGAACACGATTTCCTTTGCCTTTTCAATGTTTTCGTCGGTGGTAGAGGTCGAAGGTCGTCCAGAACGCGGCATGTCTTCGACGGTCGTACGACAGTCCTGAAAGGCTTTGTACCACTCATAAACTTGAGTT